GGTTTGGGAGTTATTAGCCAAAAACGAAAATTTGGAAGAAATTGAAGGGGTACCCCTTGGAAAAATCTCGGAAAAATCGAAAATTTTTTTTTGTTGTTTATTATTAGCAATGTTCTTCCGAAATCTGATTTCTTTTTAAAAAATGCGTTTCTAAAGTGCATAAACTTTTCGGATTGACTGTATAGCCAATACATCCTTAACTTGACCTTAATTTCACGGAATACAATCTGATCATCGTTTATGAGTCGTTGGAAATCGCGAGAGATGCTTCGCCTCGTAGGAGAAAATGAATCGGGTCACTCTTTTCCTATCGGACTTTGTGTCGAATTTTCTCAAATTGAATAAAGAAAATGTCTCCCGAACTCGTCGTTCGGCGAAAACTGATAAGATATTTAAAAAACGACAAGGAGATCGGGATGGGGTGAAAATTGACCTTCGAGATTATCACACGGTTTTCGTTCTCCCCCTCCGACGATTTAATACATGGGCGAATCCCCAGCGGCCCTCAGGCACTGATTTTCCATTGCCGTCATGGGGGTGGTGGGCAACGTAGAATGACGTCAGTGATTCCGCCTGCGCCGCGTTCCTCTTGTAACCCCATCCGGAAACTGCGTGGAGAGGGCGCACAGGGACGGGGTAACACCTCTCAGTCAATAACAGGCGAGAGGCTCTGGCATCCCGAACTTTTCCGTGTTCGAGCCTCAACTTTCATCCCCTCTCGCGATACCCCTCGAAATACCTCCTTCTCTCTCTCTCTCTCACTCTCTCTCTATTCAAAACAGTTCTCCTCCCACCATCTTGATATGTTTACTTAAGGAAACGCAAATTGGATCGCGAAAATACAAATTTAAATATCCACCCTCTGTACGGCAGTTCCCCAAATTGGACGAGACCGAGATAAACGCTGTTCGAAAGAAACTCATTAGAGACTTCTTGTATTAATGTATGCATCGGAAGGAAGAATGTATATTTAAATTTCCGAAATATCAAAAGATGTACGGGAGGAAAGAATACTTCTGAGGGTTCGTTAACGTTGAAGTGTAAGTCCGAAGAAAACGCTGAGGAGAAGGAACGGGACGAGGAAGACTGGTTTATCGATTGGCCCGTAATCAGCTTTCGCTTCTTGCGCGCGGAAGGGACGTCTTTCTACTGGCGGGACTCAACCTTGGGGCATATTAAGTGCACCATAGCTTGCTCGGTAATAGGGCCAAGGACACGCTATGCTTTCATTCGCTTGAATAATTGATAG